TTTTGTTCAGGAGAAACAGGGCTTTAATTTATCATGAACTATTCATATATGGAACATAATTTATTATGAATAACATTTTTAAAAAATATGTGAAAATAAGATTTTTTTTTAAATTTGTATTTACGTCTGACATTTTAGCTGTTAATGTCATAATACTGTTAGGTTTTACTGCAAAAAAACGCACATATTTGTAATCAGCGATGTCTCACGAGTACAACAGTACCCCCCATTAACAGGTTTTTGAAAGTGGGGTATGTTTAGTCTTTTTTATTAGCCACTTAGTCACAAACACTGGCCAAAGTTAGCGTTCATATTTGTTTTTGTGTGAAAAAGCAAAAAACTAATATTTGGCCAGTATTTGTGACTAAGTGGCTACTCAGAAAGACTGGACATACCCCATTTACAATACCTTGGGTCGTCTACTTTTGCAAATGGTATGCCATCATGGGGGTAATTCTCATTCCTGGGCTACCATACGCTCTCAAAGGCAACATAACCAACCTGGCAAATTTCAATGTCAAAAAAATGATATGTGATTCTCTAACTTTCCAAAACATCATAAAACCTGTACATGGGGGGTACTGTTATTCTTGGGAGACTTCACTAAACACAAATATTAGTGTTTTAAAACAGTAAAACATATTACAACAATAATATAGTCCATAAATGTGCCGTTTGTTTGTAGAAAATGCAAAAAAAAGTCACTTTTACTTAAAATATCATCGTTGTAATACAATTTACCAGTTTGAAACACTAATATTTGAGTTCAGCGAAGTCTCCCGAGTAAAACAGTACCCCCTATGTACAGCTTTTATGGTGTCTTGGAGAGTTACAGGGTCAAATATAGTGCTTGCAAATAAAATTCTCTGCACTTTCTCCCTGTGTTGTCAGGCATGTCAATCAAATTTGAATTAATCAAATCACATAATTATGTTAAAAGATTACTTAAATATAGACGTAGAATTTTAATATATATGCATTTATAGGTATTTAAATTCTACTGTAATCTTTTATGTAATTAGATGTATTTATCTATATATATATATTTGCAGTTATTTGTATTTTATATATAGATAGATATAAATAGAATGTCATTCTAAGTGTAATTTGTTACTAATATATATTAATAACAAAATACAGTTGGAATGAAATAACATATGAATATATAATTTATATTAAAATTTGTTTCCATATTTTATTTATTTATTTTATTATTTTATTTATTGTAATTATACGTGTGTATATATATATATATAATATATATACATATTATATATATGTAACGTCACTCTAAGTGTATTTTAATACTAATATATGTACTTATATTAAAATTAAAATACACTTTGTATGACGTTACATATCTATATGTATATATATTATATATATAATAGATATACATATATTATCTATATAAATCCATTTCTATTTTAATTTTACACGTTTCATTATTTTTTTTTTTACTTTCCCACCAGCAGGGGGACTGTCTGACATTTCAGACAGTCCCCCTGCTGGCAGATCCACAGACTGCTATAGGGGGCCACGTGATTGCTCTTTGAGAGCTATCACATGGCCCCCAGGGGCCACAATTGCCAGAAGAGGATCGCGGAGGAGGTAAGTAAATCTTACCTCCAGGCATAGAAAG